GCGTGGGCGCCCCTTTGGCAGCCCCGCGGCGGCGCTGGCGCTGGCGGCGGGCTCTTCGAGGGCTGCCGCGCCCAGAGGCCTGGCGAGCCGCCGGCCGGGCCGCACCGTGAGGAGGCGGAATCCGCGCCGCCGGCCGAGCCCTTACCGTCGGCGCGGTGCGCCGCGGCGGCGAGGGTGGGGGGAGCGTACAGCGCCGTGTGCCGAACTCTTCCTGCTTCTCCTCGTTTTTTTCCTGCTCCTCCTCCACTCTCCTCTTCCACCCTTCCCCTCCTCTGCCCTATTCCTCTTCCTCCTCGCTCCTCATCTGCGCTCCTCGTCACTCAAGAAGAGGGGCCGCCGCTGTATATGGTGTATTGTACGGAGAGTTGAACAGTGCATTCAATATCTTTTTGCCGCTTTGCGTTTCTCGTCTCACCCCCCCGCAATTTTAGCTGGTATCGAAGGTGAGAGCGATCCCAACTCGCGCTCCACGGAACATGCGAAAAATGCGTTGTGGACGCGCGTTCGCACTTACCTTCACTTCCGCAACAGCAGATAACGTTACCGCGATGAAGAACGACTCGCCCAACGTTGCTCGACCCATCGCACCCTCACCGGCAGTGGCGGCAGCTTCGCGTCGGGCAGGCTCCTCCTTGGGCTAGCGCCGTGCCTTGGTACGTGTGCGATAGTGCGGGCTGTCCTTGTGAGCGCAGCGCGCCACCCAAGTGGAACACATAATGCTAACGCGCCAATTTCACCGACGTCGGTTTTGACTCAGGTTGACGGCATCATTACGGCTGCCCCGCACTTCGACATGGCGCTTGTCTTTTCGCAGGCCCGACTCCCAAGACGCCTGCGCAGCCATCATTTTGGTGACATTTTATCAAAGAGGATCTCCAGCTTGACGTTCCGGGGCAGCATCTTCGAGTTCTTCTTGGCCGTCTTGTTCGGGCTCACCAGCATGATGCCTTGTGGAGCTGGCCCACAGGGCGGCGGCGGCCGTGGTGCGATCACTTCCCGCCAGCCGCCGTCATGGTCACCCAAGTGCGAGTCCATGTTTCGTTTTTGTCACGGTACAGGATTTGCTTGCTTGGAGCGTGCTAGCCACCGACGTTGACAGCGCCCAAGAATGCGCTGCCCCCTCAACGTCGGCGGGGCCGCTCGCGATCTCACGCGCTCCGTGAGCATCTCGGAGATGATTGAGGAGGCGTGGTCAACGACCAGCAAAAGGACGTCGCGAACCTCGCCGCACAGTTCGGTCCACTGGGCGAGGGGTCGCGCTTCCATGTAACCTGCGCGCTCTTCGAGTGTTCGAGGCGACGCAGCGAAACCACCGACGCGCTGTTCGCGCGGTTTGTTTCGCCGCGGTTCCGGGCTGCGCGCAACGGTGGCGCTGCGATGTCTTGGGGGGGGGCTACAGCCAGCTTCTCCGAGCGGTCGGTGTCGCAGCCAGCCAGCTCGCGGCGTTAGTTCTGCCTTGCGGTAACCGGTGCCCTGCGACCAAGGGCTGGAACTCCAAGGTCTCAGCCCTGCCCTGATAGATGCTGAGTTGTTTTGGCAGATGAAGACTGCTAAGTGACATTGGCGCAGACGCATGCAACGCCATATTCGTAAGGTATGTAGGTTCATCAGGAAGAACGACGACACCGTCGCCAGGAAAAAAAGGCAAAGGCAAACTCTTCCACAAGTACGCATTCCTTCTGGAGCTCTCATATGCCCAAGCAGATCAGGTCTTGTTCGATGGAAGAGGACAGAGGAAAGGCAGACGCTCGTCAGGCAAAGGAGAAGGCAGACAACAATCCGTGAGGCTTCTGGGGCCGTCGCGACGCGCAGCGTATGCGGGGGCGAGTGCCACTTCCGCGCGGAGTGCCCGCTGGGCACCGCGTCGTCACCACTGGGCTGCGGCGTCGGCGGCCAGTGCGGAGGCTGCGCAGACTCTGGGCCCACAGACGGCGCCCTGGACCCCGGCCCCCTCGCCGGGATCTCTGGGTTTGCCGTTGTTTTCGCTGAGGGCCCTCCTCCGCCGCGGCCGCGCCGCGGCGCCGCGGCAGCGTGGCCATCCGCCGACGGCTCCTCGCAGCTGCCTGGGCCTGTCCACGGCCCGTGGTCGGCAGCCTCGCTTGCCGCGGTCCAGGGCCGTTCGCGCGCCGACGCGCCGGCTGTCCTGCCGCCGCCTCAGATGTCTAGCACTGCATTTGCCAGTGCCGCCGCCGTTCCCCCGCGCGGTCGCCCTCGCCGCGGGGCCGGCGGCAGCTGCCGACGGAGCTTGTCCATCCGCCGGCGCGCCGCGGAGGACTGCAGCTCCATGGGGCGCCCGCGAGATGGGCCTCGTCGACCAGCGGTGCAGCGCAGGCGCCGTCGTCCTGCCAATCGGCCAGCTCGCAGTTCCCGACGTTCCGCGGCTCGCGCGCCGCCCCTCGCATCGGTGGTTTGGCCCGCGCGCGCGCCCGCGACAGGGCCGGCTAGCGCGAGCTGCCCTGCCAGACGGAACTGCGCCGCGGATGTGGGCGCCTAGCAGAAGCGCCGACCGCGGCTATCAGGGTCGACGTCGCGCGCGACCTGGCCCTTGAGATCCCCGCGCGGTTGTCCTCGGTGGCCAGGTCGGAGGCCGACCGGGGCGCTCGGATGGAGCTGCGGCGCGCGCGCCGACGTGATCGCGCCCGGCAGATGATTGACGCGGTCGCGGCTGGACTTCCAACCGTCGCGCCGGGCCGTTGCCGTCGGATCTGCGCGCAGAGTCAGAATCCATTGGGCTTGAAGTTGACGCCGACTAGATGCGCGGCATCTGTTTGGACTACTGCGTCAACGTGGATCTCGCTGTCATCCTTCAATGTGGCCGCCGTTCCCGCGGGCTGCGTCGACGCGCGGGCCGCCGCTGGCTGCGGCGTCGCCCGGATGCGAGCAGTAGAAGAAGCGCTTCGTGGCGACCGGGCCCGAGTGCCACTCGCGCTGCCCGACGTGTTGGGCTTGGTGGCGCGCGAGGTCCGCAAGGTCACGCGCGCCCACGTGGCATCCGCGCCCCGCGAGGCGCCCGATGAGGTCGCGTCGTCTGGCGCTGACAGGGCCCTAATCGTGCCGTGAGACGCGCCGATCAGCGAGATCACCTTCAGCGCCCCAAGGGTTCCCGCGGGGCGGTGGAGCCGACGGTTGTCCCTGGCGGCCAGCCACTGGCTCGGCAAATAAATGGGCATGCCGCTCGGGTGTATCACAGTCGCGCCCAGCTTCCCTTAGGTGAGCTCAGCGCCATCGCGGGCCCAGGTGCGTGGACCAGCCTCGCGCGCGTGAAGGTTGCGCGCTTGTTGCGCCGCCGAGCCGTGGGGGCAGGGCGCCTAATCCAGAAGCCGCATTAAAGTGATCATTTCCCCCCTCTGTGACAGAGGGGGTGTTTTTTCGGAGGCCCTCTGTGACAGAGGGGGTGCGTTTGGAGGCCCTCTGTGACAGAGGGGGTGCGTTCGGAGGCTCTCTGTGACAGAGTTGCTCGTCATCCCGTTCCTCCTCATCCTGCTTCTTGATTTCGGATACGTCATGCTACCACTGCGCTCATCATTTTTGCGTCTGTGATCCTCGTCGTGTTTTTCCATGCGTCCTTTTCACAATTTCCACCACATTATCCTCCGTTGCCGTTCTGGCCCGCCATCTACCTCGTCGCTCTCCTTCGTCTGCATGTCCTCATTCTCTTCCGCTCTTTTTTCGCCCCCCTCTGGTTCGATTTCCGCTCTTCGTCCACTTCGTTCTTCCGTTTCCAACCCCCCTTCCTTTCAAGTTCTCCGCCGTCCAATCACATCGCGTCGTCCGTCGCCGCTATGCTCAAACCATCCCGCGCCCGTGGGATCGCCCGCGAGCAACGGTGCAGCCGGGCCCGTCGCGGCCTAACGCGCGCCTGCGCCATCGTCTTGCAATGGGCGATGCAGGCGGATACACATGGGGTGGCGCGGGAGGATGGTGGGATAGCCGCAGCAGCGGCTGGCGTGGCTGGGAGGACGGCCATGATTGGTCAGCGTGGGGTTGGAGAGACTGGCGACAAGACGGGAACACGGCAACGGAGGACGCCAAATGGCGCGATGGCCCTGCCGCCGCAGCAGCGGCGGCGGTCTCGCCTCAACGGCCGTCTCGCTTCGCCGCGCTTAGCGTTGTGAGCCCCCGCGCCCCTGGTCTCGGCATGCCCGAATGCGATAATTTCGTGAGGGCTGCCCTCCGAAACTCACCAGAACCTGGGGGCAGAGTTTCAGGAGAGGGGTCGGGATCCCGAGCTGCGCCTGCGGCGCAGGAGCCCCGCGCCACCGCAGCGGCGGCGGCGCGCGGGCCCCAGGATTTTGAGAAGTTTGATGTTACTTTTTTGAGTTATGAAGAGAGGCTCGGCACTTCGTTTAAGCAACACAACCAAGCGTTGAAATGGTGGCGCCACCTGAATGAAGACCCAACTGCCCCGTTCGAGTCAGAAGCCAAGTGGTTTGACAATGCGGAGCCCACCATGGTCGCTGTTTGCGACCACGGTGCGAGAACGAGCTTTGGTTTCAGAAGCGACGAGGAAGTCCCTTGGCGGTGGCAAGAGATGGTGGCGACGCTCAGGGAGGAAGATGCCAGGGAGGTCGTGGGGGGGCCCCGCAGCAGCGGGGCTCTGATTGGCTGTTCCCTCGAAGTCCGGCCAAACAGCTACGACCACATGCGCCAGAGTATTGTGCGCGCGCGACAGTTCGCGGGGCAGCGGGTGAAAGTGAAGCTGCCGATGTGGGATTTCGTGTTGCACCGCGACGACGGGACAGGCGTCCGCTTACACCCGCACTGGGGCGACAGGAAGGTCGAAGCTCTGCCCCTCATGCCCCACGCGGACACGGTGAGGCCACCAGCCGCGGGTTTGGGCGGGAGCGACGGGTCAGGAACCTATCGCTGGTACAAGGACCTCGGTGTGGAGCGCAAGGTCAAGTTCGGTACGCCGCCAGAGAGAAGGGGAGGCCGGCGCCTTCTCAGGGGCCCCGCATCAGCGGGGCCGCGGCGTCCAGCACCGGGCCCTCGGCGTCCGCAGCAGCGGCTGGCAAACCAGTAGTTTGGGGGCCGAACAGCTCCCCAGACGATTTGGTTGTGGATTAGGTGGCTCCGCAGCAGCGGGGCTCGAATGAAGGGCGCGTTGCATTTCGGCAGGGGCGCGCGCGTCGGCCGCCGAGATCGGGGGCGCGCG